TTCCCTGCGCTCCCCTGCCCCCTGCTCATTTTGGCGTACGCCCCCCCTCCCCCCCGGTCGCGATTTTCTACGCTCCCATTCCACGTGGCGGGGGGCAGATCGCACGCGTCAAGGGCAAAGACGGCCGCCCCGTGCATCAATTCCATTGCGTGTACGGATGTATGCGTAGGAGGCAAAGGAGATGAGGCAACGCACCAGAGGGAACGCAAATAAAAGTGTAATCAACTTCAATGCGTATAGAAGATTAGTATTGAGTCCAACTTTGTTGTTTTGTCATACCTCCGTTGGTCGTTTTCGAGCCGTCGGGTAAAAGAATAGCGTTGGTGACGGTGGCCATTTCGACGTCATTGCCGAATGGTCTGTGGCGACGACTCATTTGCCTCTCTGGCCTGTTCTTTTCTTTCATTCTTTCTTTTTTTTTTTAAAGTTTTATTATTAATTTCAATAGTAGTTTTGTCAAAATTTTCACCCGTCTCTCAATTTTTTTCAGCCGTGTGTCGGACGGAGGGTGCCGATTCATCTGGTGTGGTGCGGCTGGCTGATCGGCGCTCGGCGGTTCGGTCAAAGTATCCGGCCAAGGCGTCTTACACACAATTGCCGCACACACGACCAACTAAGCTACCAAGTACGCGTTTGTGTGTTTACTATTACAAGGAATCAAGTCGATTGCAACATCTTGACGGATAGCCCGCCTCGTTCAATTATCAACATTGGCATCGTGTACTGAGCACCCACCACCCTCAGCACCCGCTCTCGCGGATCTCTGCGTCGTACCCAGTGTCCATCTCCCGCCACCATGACTCTTGCAAGTCGCCCTCTCGGGCTCCTCTTTTTGTACGATTCCGATCGCAACGGGATCAACGTTTCGCATCTTGTCTCCTTTTTTTTGTCCCGTTTGCTTTACTTTTTTGCCCACTTGCGTTTGCTGGCGCGGTCGCGTCGTTCGAGAGCCCCGACATGAAGCTTATTTCACAAAGTCCCATGCGGAGGCGGAGCAACACACAAACAAGCGATGCCGACGGGTCCTAGCTAATACGCGGCTTGAACATCCATCACAAGCTGAGTCGTGAGGTTTCGAGTGACGAAATAGATGTTGATTACGGCAAGACAGTGACGGCGGGTTTTGAGTTTTTGGGTGGAGGGGGGGGGGGGGGTTCGAGGTCGCAAGAGCTCATAGTCGCGCCCGCGGGTAAGCGCCGCGACCAGGACACGGATGGCGTGGTTCTCTTGCCTATTCGTAGCCTGAGCGAAGAGGAAACATGTTTCAGATGGGCTGTGCATTGCATTATAATGGTTCTGTGAATCTGCTCGCGCAGTTTCTACACGCCTCACCAAGAACCCGGGCCGGTCACAGAAACATGGAGTTGACACGTACAGGTCGATCGTAAAAGGTCCGATTTCCACTTATTGAGCTCCATCTGCAAACCTATGTGAATATGTTCATCCCGCCGCAAGTGGCTCGACATGTCTTGCTCAAACACCCCGTCGTGGCCTACCTGCTATTAGAAGAGGGCCTCGCTTAGGCATAATTCCAACAGTCGCAGTCTGCCCACTCGCCCCATCACGGCCTTTCCTGACCCGGAGTTTCGCCCGTGACAAAGCGTCTTTTGCCATCCAGGTTGAATTGAGGGCAAAATGCCGCGTTTCGAGGAAGATGAAGCACGTACACGGTCTTGGCCGGCCGGCGGGATAGCAAGTCAACCGCTAGGCAGGGATGAACCCCGGTAGGTTTTTGAGGATCGGAAGTTATCCGTCGGCAAGGCTTGAAAGGGAGTGCGATATGCAGACGTCGCTTTTCGACGGCTTGTACGGCCCTTGAAAAAATTACAGCTTTTTTTAAGCTTTGTCTCCGAGTCTGGGAAAATAAGCTCGAGGAGACCCGGAGCCCGGCTCTCGGAATTGGCGATACATTTGCCGTTAACCGCCGCCGCGCAAGCTTGCGCCCGAGCCGGCAGCCCTGCCGAGACCAATACTGCAAATAACCTCGATGACTGAATTCTTTGTAATCTTTTTGATCGCTCGGAATTATCACAACGGCCTTGCTTATATCCAAGCGTCGCTCAAACGGGCCGACATCACGCCACGCCCGGCCTGCATCTGTCCACCCATTCGTATCCACAGCCCATCTCCAGGATATGAATGCCGCAGGTTACACTCTCCAGGATATGTATCACCCTCAGGCGAAACAAAGGTAACACGGCGATGCCAAGAGCCAGCCTTGATTCAGCGGGCAAGTTACATGCAGAGCCATCTGCACGTGCGTGCCGCTGCAGACAAATGCAACTTATTATGCCGGTAGATGACTGAGGAAAGATGAACCGAGACAGTTGAAGCCTGTTGCCACCGTCTTGGCGGGGGTAAAAAGAAAAAGAGAGGCTAAAATTAACGCCCGGTGATTCCACTGCCGCATTTTCGTTTGTGTTCATGGTCTAGAATCAGCCTACCCTGCCCTATATCAGCGAGCATCTCCGGAAAACATCTGCCGCGGACATCACCTCCAGGACACATTCCCCTATCTATATGATGTATCCAAGCTCTGCCATTTTCGGCACCGGCAAACTTTGGTCTTTGCCGAGCAAAGTCCCTGCCTCTGAGACACTCTTGAACATGGTATGGTCCCGACGGCTTCTTGGCAGCGACTTCCGACGGCCTTGCCACCCTTTATTCCCCTCAACCGCGGTGGCAAGGTATATTAGACCAGCTTTTTTTGGTTTTCTTTTTCTTCATCGTCTGCCCGCGCGGCTGTTTTCCGGCCGTATTCGTCCCGGGCCGGCGGTCGCGATTGCCCACCCCGGCAGTGCCGCACGCCTACCCGTCGGCGACGGGCAGAAGAAATGGGAAATATGGTGGGCTCTGTGAGGCGTGTAGTTTTAGTTGTCGGTTTTTTTCGGGCGGCGCCGAGCGCGTGGGGAGGAGATTGCGGTACGATGCTACGGGCACGCTTCCTGCCGTGACTGTTTGTGGATGCGCGCAACGCGTGGGCTGCGAGGAAGTGAAATCCTGAGTATATAGGGTAGGGCGTATCAGTGTGGGTGTAGTACAATCAAACCTACTATTGGGCAAACCGATACCCAAACGATGGTGGTGAGCTGGTTTATCTGACCACGGCCAAGGTGAATGATGATGGAGTAAGCTCACGCAATAAGCTGCCCGCAGACTTGAAGGAGAAAAAAAACCGTCTGCACCACAAAACTGGCTCACATCAAACTCATCTACTCTGCGCTATAATATATTCTAGCAATGATCATTAGCCAATTATACTGATACTGATATCCGTCGCTGCCACGGGTAATAGCTCAAGTCCCTCAATTTCCACATCATATTTTCGTACACAAAAATACTTCTTATAAAACCTAATGAGCATAACTCACATCCAAAACCAGGGCATAATTCGTCTCACAGAGACTGTCTCTGTTCCTAACTAGCGGTGAGTTCTGAGTGTTGGGAGATGGCAGCTCAGCTCGACAAGAACCTGCTCAGCAACTATCTTGTTCGCGCGGCCCGGGCCGCCGCCCTTATGACAGTCTCCTGGATGGCAAGTATGCTTAAATGAAGAATTCCGATGCAAGTGTGTGTGAGAAAAAGGCCACGGGATTGTTTGGCAGATTTGCTTGACAACCAGAGACTGGTTCGGTCCAGACCAATATACACTACGAGAATGGCGCACATGATTAAAGAGCGCCCAAGGGACCACACTAATGCAGGTCAGGTTGTTTATTACAGAAAAGGTACCAAACAGTGCAAAAAGTATTGCTTTTCGCGGACCGAGTCGGCCGCACTAGACAAGTGACCGGGCGATATAAGTGCTGATCGGCATGATGCAACTGCACTACTGTGTGAGGGGGTATACATTGGCTAGCATGGAAATCTTTGACCATAAAGCAGCTTGCCGATAGGTGGTTCGGTAGATGTCAGGATGGTCAGTCTGATGCGCAGGACAAGAATCAGTTTGTTTCGTACTGCGGACGCTTGCTCTGGCGACTCTACAAGCTCCGGTCTGCTATTACGCCGCATCACCACAACTACTGACATCTAGCGGTGTTGTTTTGAGCGAGCTTGATGGGTCAAGGTCTGGCCGTATGCGCACCAGGTAAAACTTGGGTGACCGGGCCGGCGAGCTGTAGCCGTGTTAGTGTTGGAGGTTGTGTAGGAGATTAGTCGGCGGAGACCAGGCATGGTGGCTGTTCTGTCATGATCTGCGTCATCGAGGGCGGCTGCGATCATGGTAGGCCACGCACACATCGCGGAGCAGCCTCGCGCAGCGGCATCAGATACCAGCTTGGTGTGGACATGTCTTTTTGTGAGTCTCGAATCAGCACTTTTTTCAGACACCTTGACGGACACGGCGCCAACACTCGGCCTCCCTCATCCCGAGCTCGAGCCTAGAGCGGGCAGTCTCGGCCATCTTCGATTGCACGAGAGAGCCTGCTGCAGCCATCGGCGGCATTTCGTCCCGAACATGCGATAGTGTCGATCTATGATTGCGCCGCAAATAGAATCTGCTGCATCAGCGGGAATTCGTCCCGAAGATGCGACAGTGTCGGCGCTGAAATGGCTCGTCGGCAGCGGCTTTACACTTATCCCGAACTGCGGGCGATCTCTGCTAGATAGGTAGATCCCCGCTTATCGTGACCCACAGCTCTCAATTCACCATTCACATCACCAAATCGCGAGAGAGAGTTGCTCGCGTTCTTTGCCCACTTCAGAGTTGGTGCTTCTCTGCTGCCATTTTATTGGTGGCAATTTTGCATCGGATGGATCTTAATTGGACCTGCAGGCTGATTGGCCATGCTCCAAAGATGGGAATCCCGATTTCTTCTGATGCCATCTCAGACTCTAGCCCCGCGATGCCGGTGACGCTACTAAGCTTCGGCACCAAGCTACCTTGCCTTTCGTCTCTCTAATCCCTATGTCGTTATCGAGAAAACTGCTCCGAATTTTGTTTTTCTTTTCCGAAACCTGAAGACTGGTCCAAGCAAGGCGATTCGACCCTGCCCGCAATGGCCAATCTTGACGTAGATGCGATGCTCAAGAAGCTGACTCTTAGCGAAAAGGTTGAGTTGCTCTCTGGTATGCCGTTGGCGCCCATCATCGCTAGCCTGTACTGAGCAAATTAGGCATTGACTTCTGGCACACCAAGGCTCTACCCAAGTATGGAATCCCCTCCATTCGCATGTCCGATGGCCCCAACGGCGTCCGGGGCACGAGATTCTTCAACGGCGTTCCCGCAGCTTGCTTTCCTTGTGGGACTGCCCTTGGCTCGACCTTCAATCAAGAGCTTCTCGAACAGGCTGGCAAGACCATGGGAGACGAGGCCATTGCCAAGAGCGCCCACTTGATTCTCGGTCCGACAATCAACATGCAGCGATCGCCTCTAGGCGGCCGTGGCTTCGAGTCTATCGGTGAAGACCCATTCTTGAGTGGTCTCGGCGCCGCGGCACTGGTCCGCGGTATTCAGAGCACTGGTGTCGTCGCTACCATCAAGCACTTCCTCTGCAATGATCAAGAGGACAAGCGTATGGGTGTCCAGAGCATAGTCACTGAGCGGGCTCTCCGCGAAATTTACGCTATGCCCTTTCAGATTGCTGTTCGCGATGCCCGCCCCGGTGCCTTCATGACTGCTTACAATGGCATCAATGGCACGTTTTGCAGCGAGAATGTTAAGTATCTAGATGGTATGCTGCGCAAGGAATGGGGCTGGGACGGTCTTATCATGAGTGACTGGTATGGCACGTATAGCACAAATGATGCCATCAAGGCTGGTCTTGATCTCGAAATGCCAGGTCCTTCGCGCTTCCGCGGTGAAGCTCTCCAGTTCAACGTCTCAACAGGCAAGCCATTCATTCACCACATCGACAATCGCGTGCGCCAAGTGCTCAATCTCGTCAAGAAAGTATCGTCTCTACCAATCCAAGAGAACGGCCCCGAATCAACGCTTGACACCCCCGAAACGGCTGCCTTGCTCCGAAAAATTGGCAATGAAAGTATTGTCCTGCTCAAAAACGACGACAATATTCTGCCTTTTTCCAAGGAGAAAAAGACGCTGGTACTTGGACCCAACGCCAAGGAGGCCACTTACCATGGCGGTGGCTCTGCTGCTCTTCGTGCCTATTATGCTGTTACTCCATTTGACGGCATCAGTGAGAAGCTCGGCAGCCAGCCTATCTTTACTGTCGGGGCCTATACCCACTGCTTCTTGCCCATCCTGGGAAACCAACTCACAGACCCTGACGGCAAGCCTGGCATCCGTTGGCGGGTCTTCAACGAGGCTCACGGTGATGCTCATCGCAAGGTAATTGACGAGCTCCAATTCATAAAGACCGAGATGCATTTGGTCGACTACAGCAACCCCAAAGTCAACAATGTGTGGTACGCCGATATGGAAGGCTCTTTAGTTGCCGATGAGGACTGCACATATGAGATTGGTGTCGTTGTTTGTGGCACGGCCAAGGCATTCGTCAACGGCCAGCTGATTGTCGACAACGCTACAAAGCAAGTCGCCGGCAATGCATTTTTTGGTGCCTCGACCCGCGAAGAGCGCGGCCGCGTCGAGATGAAAAGGGGGGAAACCTACCATTTCCGCATCGAGTTCGGCTCCGCCCCCACATACACTCTCAAAGGCGATGCCTACGTACCCGGCCACGGCTCCCTACGCGTCGGCGGCTGCAAGGTCATCGACGACCAGCGGGAGATCCAAAAGGCCGTGCAGCTCGCCAGGGAGCACGATCAAGTCATCATCTGCGCAGGTCTCAACGCCGACTGGGAGACGGAGGGTGCCGACCGTGCCTCGATGAAGCTGCCCGGCGTCCTCGACCAGCTCATTGCCGAGGTCGCGGCCGCCAACCCCACCATCGTCGTAGTCATGCAGACGGGCACGCCCGAGGAGATGCCCTGGCTCTCGCAGACCAAGGCCGTCCTGCAGGCCTGGTACGGCGGTAACGAAACAGGCAACTGCATCGCCGACACCATCTTTGGCGACTCGAACCCCTCGGGCAAGTTGTCGCTCAGCTTCCCCAAGCGTCTTCAAGACACCCCCGCCTTTCTCAACTTTCGCACCGAAGCCGGCCGCACGCTCTACGGCGAGGACGTCTACATTGGCTACCGCTACTACGAGTTTGCAGAACGCGAGGTCAACTTTCCCTTTGGCCACGGCCTCTCTTACACAACGTTTAGCTTTTCCGACCTCTCCGTCGTCGTTGCCAGCGGCAAAATCAGCGCCACCGTCCGCATCACCAACACGGGCCAACGCGAGGGCGCTGCCGTTGCGCAAATGTACATTCAACCCAAGCAGCCTGCGCGCATTAACCGGCCCGTCAAGGAGCTGCGCGGCTTCGCAAAGGTCGAGCTCGAGGCGGGCGCATCCCGGACAGTCACCATCAGCGAGCTTGAAAAGTATGCGGCGGCGTACTTTGACGAGGAGCGCGAGCAGTGGTGCGTCGAGGCGGGTGACTACGATGTCACCATTAGCGACAGCAGCGCCGTGACGGACAAGACGCTGCGGGCGGCAATTACCGTGCCCGAGACTTATTGGTGGTCCGGCATTTAGACTGACCTGATGCATGTAGACGAGAATGATGTTGGTCAGAGTTGAAATATTCGGAAGATAATGGCGCTTCTTTGTCTATATTTTCAGCTGCATATAGCAATATTTTGCATTGAACTTGGCCTTCCATATGTCGACCATTCACATGCAGCGCCATGGCCTCGAGATGGGGGCCGACGCAATGCAGTGCAACGCCAGCCCTGCAGCCTAGGTCCCGCATCGGGAGACTACATATCACCTGTGCTACAACCCACCGAATCGGGCACACCAGCCTGGCGTGAGCCAATCGCACAGTACACCATGCACGAATCAGGCAAAAGTATCAAGAATCGAGGCTGCAAGGGGAGGATTCCTGATACTACGTGCCTCATCTTTGGCTGCACGTTTTGAAGGCCAACTTATGGACCGAAGATGAACTGTAGGTATTGAACTGCATATATTCTAGATTGTCCAAGTAAAACTATTAATATTCATAAACATCGTCATCAACATAATATCTAATTCTAGGCTAAAAACATTCAAGAGCCAAAGATGGTTTTCATATAAACACATATACAAGGAAGATGGACATGTACTATACTTTACACGCCAGATGTCATGAGGGGGGTAAAAGGACCAGCCTACTCTCGTGTCCGGCTTTCCCTGTAGCATGGGCATCGCCCACGTACATTCGCTTCTGCCTTGGCTTACTCCTCGTCCGCGGCGTCTCGACGCTTGTGCGGCGGCCAGTTGCCAGGAGGTTTTGAAGCCACATCGAGCCCAAGGCCCTCGCGCGTATGCGGCGGCCAGTTGCCAGGAGATTTTGAAGCCGCCACATTGATGCCAGTGTCCACCTTGACATCGGTATTGGAAGCCGCGGGGGCCTCGCGCTTATGAGGAGGCCAGTTGCCGGGAGGCTTTGAAGCCATGTCGAGCCCAAGGCCCTCGGGTATATGCGGTGGCCAGTTGCCGGGCGGTTTTGCAGCCACAGCGAGCCCAGAGCCCACCTTGGCATCGACATTGGAGGCCGCGAGGACCTCGCGCTTGTGAGGAGGCCAGTTGCCATTTTGGACTTTGGTGCCTTGGACCTCCTCACGCTTGCCAGCGCCAGGGCAACCCCAATGAGCGTTGGTAAAGGTCCGTCTGCAAAGTCTTCCAGCCTTTGTAGAATCGCGGTTGGTCTCGTCAGCTTGCTCAGATTCACTGTTATTGATGACCGCGCGCCTTTCAATGTCAGAAATCGTCCATACAGCGCGTTTGCGAAAGCGCCTAGCCGTCAGAGAGTCGTGGTTTCCTTGCTCAGTTTGCTCAGATTCGGCACCCTCCTGCTCGTCAATGGTAGGGCATGCCCAGGTGGTGGCACTGTAGCGTTTGCAGGCATTGAATCGGGCCATGTGCGGGTGTTCAGAGTCGAGGTCGACAGTCTGGTCCAGATTGGAGCTGTCATAGTAGGACGCGCACTCGGGGTAGTTGCCCACCACGGCAGCTTGCTCCTGCCACACCGCGTCAATGGCGCCGCAAAGCACGGGGGAAGCGGTGGCATTGGCAGCAGCAAGTATAGCGGCGGCGACGCCGACTAGACGCACTATGTTTTGATGCTAATGATGATTTAATTACAGGTTTCCTCAACGGGGGGATACACAAACATGTCAAACTTACCATTATGTACATGTACTTGCCGAAGAAAAATGAAGCGACCGAGTCCGCAAGGGATCTGGCTCTTGGGGGAATTCTTGTATAGTTGCTCGCTCTATGATGATGGAGTCTGTTGATATCCTCAGGAAGAGGAATGAATACAGGTTCAGGACGAGCTGGGGGTATTTATCACGAGTAAGCGCGGGTCCGAAGATTGAGCTAGTCTCAGCTTTTCTTGAAGAATCTATAGTTAGCGGAATCTGTGGTCCACTAATCAGTGACATCCCGAATTAAGAGGATGAGGCTAAAACGGGGTGGCGCCGAGCAATGTGACGAGAATGCTGACGCAAAGTCCGTGCTCTGTGGAGCATGTCTCGCTAAGGTCGAGGAATTTCGAGAAGAAGCATGTAGTTTTGGGTGTCGCAGCAAAAAGAAAAAAAAAAAAGGAAACCCTCCTTGATGAGGATTGCTACAAAGGTCTAATGGCACGAGGAGGATTGCTGCAAAGGGCAACAAGAAGCAAGCCAACATGACAGCAGTTGTGACTATTGATTCCGCGTCGGTAAGCTTCTAAGAGAGGCATGGAGACCGTCGAGGTTCAAGGGTCGTCAGCTTCATGGTAACGCCCGCGTGCCGTGCGTCTCCCATGCGCCCGCTTACACTCCTCCATCACCGCTTGTCGACCAGTAATGTTAAGCAACGTTGTGAGACAGGCAACGGCCATTGTATTGCCACATGTTTACAGCCGAGCGCATCAGCTCTTTCTAGACTTTCCATGGAATCATTCTCACATGCTTCTCTACCATGATCCTTCGGTATCGCCAGGAAACAGGCAAGCCAGCATGCAACAGGTCATGCTTACGTCCGGAACACACGGAAACCAATTTCAAATAGACGTCTATTACGCCACACTCTCTCGCATCCCGATCCCAAGTTGTGTGGCTGCATCGGGGCTAAATTCACAGGTGAGCAGAGCGTGGGGGGCGGGACACGGTGACGGGCTTGACGGGCAACGAAGGGGTTTGGTGAAGTTGCTCTAGATTCTCCTGGAGCCAAAACGGTCGTCGGACGATGACCGTAGTCAGCCCAGTCGTGCTTTGTATGGCAAAATCCAGAATTGTCACTCCTTGAGGCGAAGTCGCAACTTGGTGGCGTTACTGACGTTTTGGTCCCTGTAATACAGTGGAGTAAGCACGCCTCCACCCTTTTCGGCTTACTTGTACTGGGCGTCATTGGCACCACCTTTGGATAATACATAAAGATGTGCGTGCAAGGTTGATAGATTCCCAAATATCCAGAACCAAACCACATGACACTTTTGCATTGCGGAGAGTTGATAGGTATTTTCTTCGTAGTGGTGGCGGCATTCGAGGCAGAGAACGCGCCTGCCAAGTACTAGCAAGTTGGCAAACAAAATGCTGACAGCCTGGTTGGTGACCGACCTCAATCAAGTAAGCCTCGAAGCGAGAACTCGGAAAAGAAATCGGCCTAAATACTCGGTACTCCCGTAAAAAAACGGCAAGAAAACTTGTCTAGCCCTGTAGCCCTGCAACCCCTGATGTTTGATTGCGCCAAATGGGGGAATCCCGAGCTAGCCCACGACCAGTAATCCGTAGTGCTGACAGAAAATTGCCTTTCGGATATTTGTACACAGCGTCTTGGTTCGGTGGACCTTGAACGGGGTGATTTCAGCCAGGATTAGCATTGTTGATTGTCGGCTTGCTTCGCAGGAGTAGTGGGCCGCCGCCGACGGAGATGCCTAATAATGTACCACTGACAATCAGTGACAATGTAACCCACTAACCCAGATCCTAGCCGCGAATCCCTATCCCTAATCATGATCCAGGTAATGCTACAAAAAGAAGAAAAAAAGTGTAATTCGTTTCGTCTGTTGTTGGTGGGTTACGCTGTTAGAGCTTGTAGTTCGTCCTTGCTCGTCGTGCTTGATTCGTGTGAAAGTTGATGATGGATGGCTGTTGGTTCTTGACTGGCTGAGCTGAGAGCGAGAGCAGGTTTCCTGCACTGTTTGGCCGACAATTCCGGCAATGGACAAAGCCTTGGAACAAGCCCCAGAACAAACATCATGGCCAGATGCTGCGGACATTGCAATGTAACACAACAATGGCAAAGAATAAGAATAGGCTATCCGAAACACAATCGATTCGCACCGTCCAAGAGGCCTCGTGGGACTGCTTTAGGAAACTCTGAGGAGACAATAGAGCGAGACTCTCTGGTCATCCCTCCAAAGCTTAATGCATGGCAGCAGCGCCAGGGTCTTTCTTGACGGGCGCAATAAATGATGCGCCACGCGTGGCTTGCTGATCAGTGACGAATCTCTGCGCAATTGGCCGTGCGAGCAGGACACTAGCCATCCCTCGTGATCTTCTGAAGTCGTTCTCTCGGGGCTGGCTGGCTGTAGGAGGGTGACAGATCAGATTGCTTCGATAAAGTAAGGCCTAGGCATGCTAAGGAATCGAGACCGTTCGAAGGCTTCTTATACATTCATCAAGTATCCGTATTCCGTAATTACTGGCACCGCCTTTCAGCAGTACTATCAGTATGCCTGGATGCAAGGTGAGTCGATCTCTAAGAAAGAGGATAATATGATGTAGCTTAGCGTACAGATTACGGTGAAGAGTCGACGGCTTTTTTTCAAAAACTAGGCACTCCTCAGCAAAATAAGTACTTGTTAACCCTTGGTAGACGATAAGCCGACATTTTACGGAGTAACAAGTAACGCCCCGCCAGCCTACAAACGAGATGCAAAGCCAAGTCTCATTAGTGCCCTGTCCGGGCCTACGTCTGTACGAAAGACGAAAGGATCGAGGAGGCGCGCATAACAAGTTTGCACCTCTCCGTACATGAAATGACGGTTTGTTGTCGACAGCCACCTTACCGTTTGCCTTTGCGTTACTGGACGGGTCGTCCCGATTCTAGCGTTGCCGACCGCGCGCTCCATCGGCCGAGGAGGTGTAAAACAGTTCCAACTCCCACTCCAGCGCTGACAGGCTTCGGTCGTCAAAGGCGACTTGGTCTCTTGTTTGAATTAATTGTTGCTCTCATTGGTGTCCACATTGAGGAGCTCTTGTCTCGAGAACACGTCGAAAGTGGCGTTAAATCAGCCTCATTTCCTTCTTCTAGTGGTGGAGCTTTGCTACGGTCCCGCTCGACCCTCACTTGCCTCAGACCGTAGAGCACCACTTACTCAAGCTGCATGCAGACCCCGGTTTTGGTCGCTGCTGCAAGGCCGGCCGAGGTGACGACTGGCGATACGGCCGGATCCCCGTGGTAGCCTGACCAGGCTCTTGGCACTTTCGAGCCAATCATGCGGGGAAGAGGGAATAAGAGGGTAATTGTCTGCAATTCCAAACACTCGCCACCTGGCTTCGGTCGGTCTCGGTATTCTGCAATCTGCATCCTCTCAGCCTCAGTCGGCGTAGTAATGCGTGGGAATCGATGCAGCAAGTCCCACTGATGATGAGCAGAATCAATATGAAACATTGCCAGTCATGACTAACGTGAATGAGGACGTGAAGCGACGGTCACAGGGTCTCTATTGCATGTATATTCTACTGGTAGTCGAACGGTTCAACGTAAGCTGACAAGGAACAGGCAGCACTCGAATGATGAGGGTCAATGGAGAAAGATGCAGTGCAGAATGCGGGTACTTTAATTACTGGTACATATTACTCAGTCGAAAGAGGCCCCTCCGATAACAGTCATCTGGTGACGAGATGAATGCCAACGGAAAATCACATGCCACAGCCTGTCTGTCAGGGGGGGGACAAAAGAACATGGGCATCACGTGTCCACAAGATGCGAGATGCGCACTTTGATAGTATCTTGACTCAACTCAGGAAATATTTGCTACGAATAATAAATTGAAAAACAGCAGTACTCGAGTGTGCTAATTGTGGGCTAATTGTCCCCGCAATACCTAGCAGCTGGTCGACACGTTTGTGTGGTGAATGCATGTATCATTGCAGAAATCCGGACACAGGCTCAAAAATTGACGAAGAAAAAGAAAAAGAATCGAGCTTTATAGAAATAAATAAAATAACCAAAGAGAAAAAGAAATCCTTTGCCCCTTGTCGGCTTGTGGTGACTGCTTCTCGCGCTGCCGATATTACGGGCATAAGGTACCTAAGGGTAACGAGGACGCTGGTAGGCTTCTAGGTATACAGGCGTGGCGCCCCGATGAACGCGCAACCGCCATCTTCACGACATCGGAGTCTACATCGCCGCTTCTATCACCATGGACACTCCAACACCGACTATTCCCGCCCGGAAGCAGGCCTTCATCGCAGCGCAGACTACACTGCTATCGCAGCCTGTTGCGCCGTCTCGCGCCTGGCGCGCCACAAACGACGCGTCCAACACGCCCATTCGAAAACGAGTCGTCGACGATGTCGTCTTCGAATTTAACCGCATCATCGAGGAGCATTGCCATCGTGCATATGCGCCTCAAGCCAGCCGAGATCTGGCGGAGCGTATCAGTGCCATTTATATTGGGCAAACTGATCGTCGACAAGGGGGCGCAAACGAAGACGCAAGCATTGGAAAAGAGGTAGATCTGAGTGAGTCTCACGCAAACACTTCCTCCACTGCTCGCTTGCGCTGATTCTTTTCTTCTTCTTCCTTTTTTTTCTTCGCTACGAATAGCCAACGATGAAACTATTGATTCACTCCCGGCTTCTTGGCCGTTGGAAAGAGAAGCGGCGGCCAAGCCTGAAGATGCGCAAGCTTACTTACGGTCCGTCGCCCGTCTTGCCCAGCTGAGCATGGAGCGGCAACAGCTTCAGCTCCGTATGGAAAAGCTCCGCCGGCTGCAATCCGCCATTGAACCGCTGCGCACCTCAGAGTCGGGCAAGGGCGTACAAGAAAACCTGGTCACCCGCAACGGGGCCGTGGAAAGGGAGCTGGAAAAGATGCGCGGCCTGCTCGATCGCGTAGCCAACGGCGTCGACAGCTTTCGAGATGCCAGCGCCGGTTCGCGCTCGCGAGACTTGGTCAATGTGGACGAGCTGCGCACGTCGAGAAAGAGGGCAGTAGACGACTTTCTCGCCAACTCAAAGGTGTTTCCAAGCTGAGGACAACAACGGCAAACATCACCATACATTTGACGTGACGTCAAATTACATCCGACGAAGCGCTCTACAACGACCTGCTGCCGTGACTAGATAATGGCAGGCTTCCAACCTCTCTGGTGAACGGTCCGCTGCAGAAAGATGCCGACCGCCTCAAAAAAAAAAAAAAGAAAAGAAAAGAAAATCACGCGCTTTTGCCATGGCTGAAACTGCTGACAGTTTGTGCTATGCGCAATACCTATGCGGTGTCACTGTGATGATGCAACTCTGCTCATATGGGCCGACGTTGGGTTCAGACTGCCGCGACGCATACTGCGCCGGCAATTCAAATGCACATTACGTCTATCAAATCGGCCGTCCATCTCTGTGATATATGCAGACTGGGGTTGGGGTGCTCAACAAAAAAGACGCTTGAACTGTTTTGGAGAGGATTAGCGAGTCCATTCGTCGGCAGTTCTCGTCCTCCAATGAGCATCGCGCGCGCTGTGCATGAGCCAAGCATTTTGAAAGAAAGGGTCAAGGACGCAATGTTCACCGCTTGGGGCAGATATAAGCAAGTGCTTTGCTTTCCATTCATCTTTTTCTCTTTATTTGATTTCCGTTCTCAAAACATCCGCTCAATTCAGGCTGTTTGCGCGCGCGCTCGGGCGAGCATCAACTACATTGTCAAGGACTGCAATGTCCGTTCACCGGCCAAAGTTGCATCAACACCTCTCTAGCCATCCGTCGATTGCAAGCCTGCCGACCTGAATACAAGCAATAAAAATCGGTGTATTAGACGCAGATTTACGTCGTTAGTCACATTTGTCTGCGCTCAAAATTTATCGAGGTGTGGCCTGACATGTCATGCAGCATGGTGGGAGCAACCATCAGCTAACTTCTTAAGCAAGTCAAAGACACGACTGCATCACCACAAGGCAACATTTCCTTTGAGCGTGACCGGTCTGCTTGGCCACGCTAGTTACAAGACCATCTTGCGTATTTAGTAGCTTGGAACTGACCTCAATCCGGCCGAGGCTTATCAAGGTTTATGCTGACCCTTTCGCTTACGCTGGCCCGCCATTCGTGGTCCATCGCCAACACTCCGACACATTGGCTCTATCACTCACTCGCTTTGAGCCAAGGGAACAGCGGGACGCACAATCGAGTCTGCCAGATATCTGGCTCGTCTTTGGATTCTTCAATCCCTGTCTCTCGCCAATAATTATTTCTGGTACAAGATCTACACGATTAATATATATATATACCCGTTGATCCGGCCATCTCGCCTCTCCGACTTCTGTACGCCCCAATCATTTCGCCAAAGCCCTTGTCAGCTGCGTCCTTATTGTATTACCCGCCGTGCGCTTCTCGGCATCTTTCTTCCCATCGCACACGATTATTGGCTACACATTTCACCTGCCAATCCCGTCAATCCCTCGCTAACCCACCTCCGTCTGCTGTTGCTGCATGCTGGCTGTCAAGGCCGACAAACTCGTGCCCGGTCTTGGAGACGCCACGAATATCGCATCTTGACCAATTGGCGTTGCACGGTACTATTTTTGTATTTCTGTGTGAGCTCGGGTCGAATTGTTTATAGAAGCACTATTTAGCCTTTTCTATCGTGTCCTAAATTGGCTCCTGTACATCCTCATACAGCTTATTAGGCGTCTACCTCGGCATCGCCTGTTACTAGCTCGTCACCTACATTTCAGAACAGCTTCAGGTCAAGGTTTGTTTACGCTAGCTTCTGCATCTAGTCAGCACCTCGATTGCATTTCGAGTCAAGAAACTAGCTTCAACATGGCTCTCAACGACCCAGGAGTTATATTGCGCAAAGCTGCCGACGAAGGCGAAGACGCCGCCGACATTCAAAACTACAGACTTCAGGAAAGCTGGAAAGAATGGCCCAATGAAGCTGGAGTAAGTTTTAGTACGCCATGTCTTCCAGTCAACTAACGCGGTCCCTGTAGTTTGAAGGGCTTGAAGAGCACCGCGGTCCCATTGCGCTCAACTTGAAAGGCTCCATTCCAGATTGGGCCGCTGGCGCTCTGTACCGCACCGGGCCCGGCCAGAGTTCTGTCGAAACCAACTCCAATGGCACTCACAACATCACTCACTGGTTCGATGGTCTCGCTCACAGTCACAAGTTTGACATTGTGCCGTCAAGCACACCGGGCGGCAAGACATCAGTAATGTACTCTTCTCGGCGACAGTCTAAGCGACTGGAACAGCACATCAAAGAAACGGGCAAGCGAGGTGGTGCCTCGTTCGGCCAACGTGCTGATCCATGCATGGGTATTTTCGCAAAGGCCATGGGCATGTTTGCTCCTCGTGATCAATACAACAACAATGTTGTGCTGCTCCCAAATTTCCCTGGCATTGACAAGGACCGCAAACATACAGACCAGACTGGCCACCGCCCCGGCCTGGATAATCTGTACATCAGTACCGATACAGCTGGCTTACAAAAAATCGATCCGCAAACACTTGAGCCGCTGGGCTTTACCGATCAGTCAAGCCTGCATCCGGATCTCAAGGGCCCGCTCTCATGCGCGCACGCGCAGCGGGATCCCGAAAACGGCGATTTGTACAACTACAACCTCGAGTTTGGCCGGTTTGCGACTTACCGCTTTTTCCGCGTCCGTGCCGCGACAGGCAAAACAGAAATCTTCGCTACGGTGTCGGAGCCCAGCCTCGCTCCAGCCTACATACACAGCTTCTTCCTGACACCAAATTACATGGTACTGTGCGTCCCAACTACCCATCTCGGGTGGAAAGGTGCCAAGATTCTCTGGGAACAGAGTGTACTTGGGGCGATAACACCGTTTGACGACAGCACCCCCTGCCGTTGGCTCATAGTTGATCGCACAGGAGATCGTGGCGTGGTGGCCCGGTTTTCTACACCAGCATCCTTCTTTTTCCATTCAATCAATGCATTCGAGGAGACAATTTTGGATGAGAACAATGAGATGCGTACAGATCTCTCGTTCGAGTATGTCCGCTATGACAACACAGATATTCTCAAGATTCTTTCTTATGACATTGTCATGGATCGAGATGATGCGGCCAAAAAGTTCTTCTTTACCGACGAACGTTACAAAAAGGGCCATATACGTCTGGTGCGGTACCGTTTCCGCCTGCCGCGTGACGGCATGCAACAGACTGAGGAAGAAGCTCGGACTGCCGCCGGCGAGGAGGTGCTCTCGATCCCAGCTCCGCACGCTGGTGACCTGCCCATAATCAATTCACGAATGGTACACAAGCCACACCGCTACGTGTACAGCGTTACAAGTCGCGGCATCAGCACGTTCCTGGACTGCCTTGTTAAGACGGACGTGCAGACACGTGAAGCCCTCATTTGGCGTGGAGACAAGGGACACACTCCTGGCGAGCCCATATTTGTGGAGAGACCAGGAGCGACAGAGGAAGATGACGGTGTGCTGTTGAGTGTGGTGTTGGACGGCGTATCCAAGACATCGTATCTGTTGTGCTTGGATGCCCATTCGCTTGAGGAGGTGGGCAGAGCCGAGGCGGACTTTCCCATTGGGTTTGGTTTTCACGGAATGCACCAGAGCCAATTCTGATAAGGGACAACCGTAAATGGCGTCCCATATTTTGCTTCCCATGCATGGCATTATTACAAGATATAAGCGATGTAGCTCAACTGCCATGCCGCAGCCATGACCACGTTGGCTGAGGGACCTTGAAGAATCAGAGGCTCGGGCGATATCAGGGAAATCAGAAAAAAATCAGAAAAGTAATAAAAAAATCAGAAAAAATCAGGGTAATTTGCGCGGAAACGTGGATAGAACTACAAGGTTCGGTTAGGCATGAGTCACAATACTGTTGCATGTATTACTTTTTATGTTACAAGACATTGCATCATTCATGGTTTAGAACATGCGCCACAATGAATTCGCTGGCTTCCCAAACTTGAACCGCCCATACCACCGACATAGCGGCCACATAATGAGCATACAGAGCGTCCACACGGCGAAAACCCCAAACACGTTATCAATCGACTTGACCGAGACGAAAACCCCCGGCGGTCCCTCCTCCTGGTCCGTCTCGTGGCCAAAGACGGCGCACATGGCCCATCCCGTGAGAAACACGACGGGCATGTGGACCACGTAAAAGAAGAGCGACGCGGTGCCAAAGTCGAGCAAGACGACGAGCCACCGCTTGGCAAAGGCGGCCGGGATGCGGCCCAGGCCCGCGAGAAGGAAGAAATTGGCGGCGAGCGTGAGCGCCCAAAAGGCCACGTCGGGCGGGTACTTGACCGTGTAGAAGAAGGCGGCGGGCGACGCGAGGTACTGGTTCCGCGACGGGTGCGCCCGGTTCTCGGGCGTCTGCAGGCAGTGCTCCGAGAGATTACCAATGTGCAAAAGACGGGTGAGCACAAAGATGACGGCAAAGACGAGGCCGGCGAGCAAATGGCCGAGCAGGCGGCGGGGCGTCGAGCGTTGCGGGTGGTTGTTGTCGCGGATCGTCATGGCGCGGCCGTAGAGGACGCCGACGAGGGCAAAGGAGAGCCACGCGAGCGGCGGAAAGGCCGACAGGACGCCCGGCGCGCTCGTCTCCCAGAACCAGAGATGCAGCCACCAGTACCTGTCGGGCTCGGACTCGGGCCAGCCCCCGGGGGCGCCGACGACGACGACGTGGGCCGTGTCTGAAGCCCCGGGGACGGCGCACTGGCCTTGATCTCTAGACAGCCAAATGTTCCAGAAAATGGTCACGACGCTGAGCAACAGGAGAAGCGTATTATGCACGTGCCAGGATATCCGCGCCGCCTTGGTCTCTGCGGTGCTCACCTGCGGGCCCCCCTGCTGCCGTGCGGCTAACAGCAGCAGCGGCTGCTGCTCGGCGTCAGCCTCGTTATCCGCCGCTACCGCCGCCGCCGCGTCCTGCTCTTCGTGTTGTTGCCGCCGCAGCAGCATTTTCCTCGTCAGGAGATCCGTCAGCCTGCGCTCCGTCTCGTCGAGCGCGAGCCAGACGGCGCCGGCGAGAAAGTAGTCGACGGCCAGCGCAAACAGCACAATGTTGAGAAACCAGACCTGGCCGGCCGTCATGGCTAGGCTCTGCGCAATCATGACGAGCGTCAGCACCGCCATGCGCAGCGCAAAGTACCGCAGAAGCCGGCGTGCGCTCCAGCCTTTGCCGTGACGGCGGGCGCGCCCCAGATACGCGACGCCCATGCCGAGCAGCAGCGCAAAGCCCGGCGCGCAGAGGTGCGTCAGCGACCGCACAATGTACGCCGCGGGGCGGTTCCAGCGCGTGACGGGCTCGCCGTCCCGCTCCGGACCGTTGCCGAGGCCGTGCGGCCAGGGACGGAGCGCGATGCCGAGATGGTCCATGGCCATGAAGGCCATGAGCAGCCCGCGCAGCAGGTCCGGGCCGAGGACCCGAGCTGTCGCCGCCGGGATCTGCTTGCCGCTGCTGCTGTTACTGCTGCTGCTGGCATGGGGCGGAGGGCCGGGTTGGTGAATGGTGTGGTGGTAGCGCGGGAAGGAGTTGTAGTGCGGCGGCAGGGTGCTGTGCTGGCGGGATGCGTCGGGGGTGCTGTTGGTGTCGTGGTTGTTGTTGGCGGCGGAAGCGTCGGCGTCGGTGGCCGCCGAGGAGCCGTCAGCGGCCAACCCGTTGGCAGCCATTGGGTGGCCTTACTTGGTGAGACGGCGGTTCTGCCGGCGATGACGAGGTTTGAGAGCGAATATCACAGTCCACACGTAATCATCAAGATGCAAAGAACAAGAAGAGAGGAGAAAAGAGATCTTCGGCATCATGAATACTCATTAGAATTCTCTGAAATTGATTACTCAACTGTAATAACGGATCCAGCGGACTTGGGCGCGCATCTCCGCCACCAACGCCACTAACAAGTGTCGGGGCGGATTAGCGAACAATAGTAGTCCGACAGTCCGAAGTATTGATTTGTGACGCTCCTTAGCTCAATCAACTAATAAATGAAGTTTAGTTGGAAACTTTGATCCAGGAAATTTCCTACTAATTATAAGCCACGGCTTCTGCGGACTTCTTCCTATCCTGCTCCCAAGAGCTCTTGATGTCGGCCAGGAAGTGTTGGTCGCGGAGCGCCTCCACAGCCACGCCAGCGAGACCCTTGGCCACCCGCAGAGCGCGGGCATACGCCGCCCTGGTGCCCGCCGATTTTGCAAAGCCCGGCGTGTGCGGGCCCTGGCTGCCCTCGATCTGGTATATGGGGCTGATGGACGGCATGGCATACGAGACGTCGCCCTGGTCGGTGCTGGCCTGCGTCTTGCCGTTGGCGGCGTCCTTGTCCGGGTCAGTCGCAATCGTGTCGTCCTTGCTTCCGCCGAGCGCATTGTAATAGCGCGTAAACGCATCGGCCATGGGCCCGTTGGAGAGGTTATCCTTGTAGGCGCCGAGGTGCGTGAGCTGCAGCCTTGCGCCCGTCGCGAGCGCGCCGGCTTCGAAGCAGCGGACGACCTGCGCGCGCAGCGTCTTGAGCCGCGACGCCGAATCGGCGCGCACGGTGAACTCGCCGGCCGCGTACTTGTGGATAATGTTGGTCGCGTCGCCGCCGTGGGAAATGTAACCTTGAATGATCTCGCCAGGGACGGTCTGCTGGCGCAGCATGGAAAAGTTGTTGTAGCCCTGAACAAGGGCGTCGAGGGCGTTGATGCCGAGCCACGGGTTCGCGGCGGCATGCGCGGCGACGCCGAAATACTCGACCGTGAAGGTGGAAATGGCCGTCGTGCCCAGGCGCGCCGACGTGGGCCCGATACTGGGGTGCGAGATGAGGCTCAGATCGACATTGTAGTCCTCGTAGGCGCCGGCCTCAAGGAGTTTGACCTTGCCGCCGCCATCTGTGAGCGTCAGAACAGGTAGAGGGTGGCTTCACAAGACCGACGCACTCTCTTCGGCGGGTGTGCCATAGAGGACGATTTTGCCAGGCAGCTTCCTAGCCGTAACGATCTGGGCAGCCGCAGAGGCGCCGACAACCGAAGACGTTGCGATGAGGTTGTGGCCACATGCGTGTCCGATTCCTGGCAAGCTGTCTGGGTCTTTAGTTAGCTGATAAAGCTTGCATCGCTACTGTAGCACACACCGTATTCGGCATTGAATGACACGACTGGGCCAGGGACGCCACTATCATACTCTGCAATCCATGCAGTCTTCAAGCCATAAACAGATCTCTTGACTTTCCATCCCGGCTGCGTCTCCATGAAAGCCGTGAGGGCGTCGTGAGCGATGAATTCGTGCCAGGCGAGCTCGGGGTTGTCATGGATGTGCTCGTTGACAGGCCAAAAGTCGGCACCGATGGCCTCGACGGCCGTGTCAATGTCGGCAAGCGCCTCTGGTACCCGGTCAATCTGCATTTCTGGAAAGGAACTGGACGAGAGTGTCGTTGTTGCGTGTTGGTAGTGTTTGTTCCGGAGAGCAGCGGTTGGCAGCAGGGGTCCTCGTGCGGGGGGGCCCTCCACGGGCAATCACGGCGGGAAAGGTGACGGGATTTGATGCCGCAGGGGACCCTAGTCCGGGGTGACGTACAAATATTAATAAATGCACCGTTATCAATATTGGTCTTGGGGGCCTTGTTTGTCGCATTTTCTTCATTAGGAAGGAGACAATACTGAATGCCTTGCATCTTGGGTCGGGCGCAAGCCACATTGGCATCATCAGGATAGACCTATGGGGATGCCGTTTGGGTGGTATTGTACTATTGTCCAACATCATTTGATTTACATGCACTGATGGGATACCCCTTACGTTCTATCCACCTATAACAGGCTGCTCTTATAATGACCGAGTCGTATTATCTGCCGGCAGATGATCCCGGCCGATTTGAAGCAGACGACAAGGTGCACCGGACAGCCAGGGAGAGAGGCATGACGAAGCGGCGCACATGAGGTTGAATTTTATCTGATGGAAATCCATGTACATGGTTCGATGCTTATTTTGTGATTGATTGATTCATCCTTTCTTTTCTTTTTTTCCATGTTTTTTCTTGAGATGGCCCTTGTTGGGTGTCAGCAACTGTCAGCTCCCCCCTTCCCCTGCTGAAAAGTACGGAGCACCTTAAGTACCTACCTACCAACCTAGGTACCTACCTACCAAGGTACCAAGC